TCCGAAACTTGCGCAATATTGTCAGATAGAGGTGAGATCCCTTTCAGATGGTGGCTTTTGTCTATGCGCCTTTTATGTAGATATCGCACTTTGAATCTCATTCCTGACGATTGCCAGTCTGCATAATGCGTCAAGCATAAAATCAGAAAAAATCCATATTAAAACAGTGTACGCTAAAAACGACAGCCACCATATAAATGTCAGTTTATGAATGATGATGATATTGTAGACAACTGACTTAAACGGGAAGCATGCATCAAGGTCAGTCTTAATTCCGTTTTTTGTTCGCATTCATTTTTAATATATCCGCTTCAGTTAGGGTCTAACGACAGCCATCTTGAACGTTCGTCAAATTGACCTAACATGATAAACACCGCGTCACAATATTCTAGCACTGGAGAGGGTAGAAATTTGATTGGTTAAATTAAGCAGACGTCATCGAGTTGGGTCGAAAGGTTGTTTTGACGAAGGTTAAAGAGGGCTGTTGTTAGACTCTAACTGAAGTGGCTATATTAAAAACTAAACGCTAATGAAAAAGAAACGAAAGTTTGGGCTAATTTTTTATTAAACTGGCATCAAAGTCCAAATAATGTTGAAATTTAAGTAACAGGTAACTAGAAGCAATCTATGCGTCTATGTAGATTGGAGTTGGAAAGTTTCGGACTAAACAGCTGATGAAATGCAAATTGGATTTGTAAGAATAAATCTAGCAGGAACAATGGTTAATAATTTTTGAACAAAAGATCCCAGGGGTGTAAAATCTGGAAGGTGGGTGGTTGGTACTAACTAAAGTATTTTATAGTAAATTGTACTGTAGTTAATCAATGGATTTAATACACAGCTGGCTTACTAGTTACTATTATTATTACTAATCCAATATTGCTCTGAATCAACTTTTACAGCTGTCTGACGGTCTAAAGATAATACATATACACTACTACTCCAAACAGATCCACTGCAAAACGGATTTACAGAAAAATACCCACAATACCCGGCAATACCGAACCAAGGTAAAAAGTGTGCACGGCAAACACTGACCCACAATAAATCTGAACAACAAAACTGACCGCGGCAAAACTGACCCACGGCAAGAGACGACCCCAGTTGAAACTGACCGGCGGCAATACTGACACGGAAAACATAACCCCGGGTAAAACTGACACTAGGAAAAACGGAAGAACAGACCCTCACCTATACTACCCTACTACAAAAGGGATATAAGGCAAAACTGACCAACTGCACAAACAAAAAACGTTTTGCCCATCTTAATGTTTAGTGGTCATATAAAATATCGGCCCACCTTGCCCCCAGTCTCCCCTACCAATAAATCCTGAACCATATAAGGCTGCAATCTTACTGTTTATTATAATAATATTGAGACCAGTATTTATCATCTATAATATCTGACATCATCACGACCGATTTAATAATTCTGTAACATCTTGTATGATCCATAATGAGTGATGACTTCATCATTATTCATTACCAAGTACAAATGCAATGACGTAATATGGGCTTTATCTTATTTTTGGCACTTGGTTTAAAAGGTATACTACCTCTTAGGACCCCGGTTCCCAGTCTGGTGTGTTTTCGCCCCCTTGGGGATGTGGGGAGGGGTGTCAGGGGTGTGGCCAACTGGTATAGGAGAAGAATTTGTAGTTTTGAATTGAGACAGCACCTTACCTCATCACATGTTGAAAATGTGGATATAACAATTTTTTTAGGGATGTGAAAGGTCCAGGTGATTACTCCAGGATGTGAAGGCTGAGAAAGGTTGGGGACCACTGTCTTAGGATTGGTTTAAAATACTACCGTTGGGAGAAGCTTTTGGTAGAGAAGATTTGAAATTGTAAGATTAAATGCCTTGAAGATAATGAAGAATGTCGACAATGTGAAGAATTTCTAGTGATATGAAACGTGTTCAATTTTGGAGATTTTCCAATGACCTAATTTTTTTGATTGACATATATCAAACATGAACGTGCAGTTTGGAACTCAAATAACACAGAATGTAAACTATGTACATGTTTTACATTGTAGATTGTTTTTGACATGAGCCTGGACATTATCACGACTGACAACCCCACCTCGGCACCAGGCCCGTAGCCAGACTTGATTGTTCGGGAGGAAGTGACATGGGGGTGGGGGAAAGTAATATATCCGGAGGGGCAATGGTGTCTTTAGTTGAAGTAATGAATTTCGTTGTCCAAAGGCTTCAACCCATGCATAGTAAAGATAATAACTTTTTAAACATAGTTTCCCACTGTCAAGGACATGGGATCCAATGTGGCTCGCTTACTAGCTAACCTAAAGGTCTAGGCTTCAATCTTAATGAGCAATAAAGTTGTATTGGGTATTGTAAGGAGGCAAAGATAATAAATTACTTCAAGTTTTTAGACTTTGAACCCATATCTGAAGATTTAACCAAATACCAAAACTCAAAGGAGCCACAACCAGTGGCAGTGTAAGAAAAACTCTTATAGAATAATACATATGGTTGAAATAGTTTGTTTAAAGAGTGACTGCCTGTTATAGTCAATTTCTTTTCTCTTGAAGGGAACTCAGATCGAGTGATAATTCAGTTTCTTTAGATACTGTTAGTCTCCAGGAGCGATCAGCCACACTCACGAAGTCCACTCTCTCAATGACAGTTCTAGGGATGCACAAGAATGTTTGCTAGATCGCAATCAGGATTTAAGAAAATTCTATCTTATAATATATAGAATTTATCATTTTACGAGATTTATCCAGGAATAACAATGTTCTGCGGCTGCAAAACAACAAGATTTTTTTTTCACAAACTGCACTAACAGAAGAAGCACATATAAATCTCTGTCATAAGATGCAGAAGCACATACAATTCTCTTTAATAATGTGCAGAATCAAATACAAATCTCTTTCATAAAATACAGAAACACATACAATTCACTTTGATAACATGCAGAAGCACATACAATTCTCTTTCATGAGATGCAGAAACACATAGATCACTGCGTTTACAAACACTTCCTATGATATACGAAAGGTGGCTATTGCATTCAAGGTATTAGACGCAGTTCGTAATAGCTTGACATTGTGAAGATGCCTTGATCCACGCTTCATGCACACTAATGCATGCGGTTAAAGTCTTCCTTAACGAAATAAGGTATATGACGTAAAGCTCCTTTTCAGGTTGGGAATAGCCACACTCTATCATAACAAGGAGAAGTTTTAATGTCTTGATTGTTTATTTAACTTAATAAAGCAACTCAAAGTCCAGTAAGACGTGAATTGTTTTGAACTTTGGCCTTCGAGAAGGAGAGAAAAATGTAAAAATTGTGGAGAATTTTGGGACTGGTATAATCTGTTATTTTAGTACCTATATTTCAATAAGTAATTAGTTTTAAAACAAAAATACCCTCCAATCTTTCAATCAGCCCATCAATCAAGGTGTTATTACCACAGAGGCTAAAGGTCAAGGAAAATTTGTTCCTATTAAACGTTGGTTGTGTTTTTGTACTGATCACGCCTTGCGTTCAGTTGACAGATCATTTCGTAGCGCATGGTTTGACTTGGCAGGTCTTATGGCCTGTGTTATCAGCCCTTGTCCCACCTCCTTCATCCCTAGCTACATGACTTGTGTCGTTTGTTATAATGCAGGCTTTTGGTGGGGCCATCTTCACGATGTCAAGCTATACGAACTACGTCTATCATTATTGTCGTCATCATAATCTTGCATCACCTAAGTTTGTAAATGATGCGATTTAATTGGATTGAACGCTAGCGAATACAGCCAATTAAAGCCCTCGGCATAAAGACTAAACGGTTTTTCGGGTTTTGGGTGACAGACTCTCTGTCGACGGCTCTGATTGGCGCAATGTTTAGTATTTAAGGCGTCTGAGTGGCTGTACTCGCTAGCGTATATACAATCAACTCAAATCGCTGTATTTACAAACTTGACATTGTGAAGATGCTGTGGGACATTGCATTAGGCCGTCCTTGTAAGTATCAGACGAATTTCAATGTCACGAACTAGTCGTACTTTTGATTTCTCTTTACCATCATGTCAAAATTTGTTAACAAACTTTCAATTAATATCTACCTGCCAGACATTTGATGGATGTACCTACCCTTGTCAAAAATATATTATGATAATAAATTATAGCTTGTACATTAATTATTCGTATTGTCGGATATAGAGTCGTTCCTCCGAGGATAAAAGTAATTTTGGAGATTTTGTTAGTTAGTATTAGACAATTCGCCCCATGGTTATAATGTTATAGGTTTGTACTAAGTGATACCGGTTTTAATAGCCGAATATCAGCTGATCGTTACACCTTTCTGACTCAGCAGTATTTTTAGCTGGCTATTTAATGAAGAGCGCCGCCAACTTGGAGTCTTGTCTTACTGGTAAAGTCTACATCTTCAGCTGATAACTGTTTTAACAGGCTGGGCGGTTGGTGTAGCATGCCCTACATGTAATTGTTTTGTTGAGAAAATTTCTCATGAAAATTATAAAGAGGAGAGAGAAAGGAAGAAGGGACTGTAGAGTCAGTGGAAAGAAAGAGCTAAGAGGAGCAGGAAGAAGAAAGAATGGAAGAGCTAAGAGGAGCAGGAAGAAGAAAGGATGGAAGAGCTAAGAGGAGCAGGAAGAAGAAAGGATGGAAGAGTAAAGAGGAGCAGGAAGAAGAAAGGATGGAAGAGCTTAGAGGAGCAGGAAGAAGAAAGGATGAAAGAGCTAAGAGGAGCAGGAAGAAGAAAGGAAGGAAGAGTTAAGAGGAGCAGGAAGAAGGTTGGAAGAGCTAAGAGGAGCAGGAAGAAGAGACAGTCGGAAGAAGGATGGAAGAGTTAAGAGGAGCAGGAAGAAGAAAGGATGAAAGAGCTAAGAGGAGCAGGAAGAAGAAAGGATGGAAGAGCTAAGAGGAGCAGGAAGAAGAAAGGATGGAAGAGTTAAGAGGAGCAGGAAGAAGAAAGGTTGGAAGAGCTAAGAGGAGCAGGAAGAAGAGACAGTGGGAAGATGAATGGATGGAAGAGTTAAGAGGAGCAGGAAGAAGAGACAGTGGGAAGAAGGATGGATGGAAGAGTTAAGAGGAGCAGGAAGAAGAGACAGTGGAAGAAGGATGGAAGCTCATGGGAGAAGGAAGAAAGAGCTAAGAGTAGAAGAAGATACAGTAGAAGGAAGAGTTAAGAGGAGCAGGAAGAAGAGACAGTGGGAAGAAGAATGGATGGAAGAGTTAAGAAGAGCAGGAAGAAGAGACAGTAGGAAGAAGGATGGAAGAGTTAAGAGGAGCAGGAAGAAGAGACAGTGGGAAGAAGGATGGATGGAAGAGTTAAGAGGAGCAGGAAGAAGAGACAGTGGGAAGAAGGATGGAAGCTTAGGGGAGAAGGAAGAAAGAGCTAAGTGTAGAAGAAGATACAGTAGAAGGAAGAGTTAAGAGGAGCAGGAAGAAGAGACAGTGGGAAGAAGAATGAATGGAAGAGTTAAGAGGAGCAGGAAGAATTAAATTCTTGAATAATTCAACGACTAAAATTGGGCTTAAAAACAATTCATAAGTATCCACACTGGTCAAATAAAATTGCAGGAGGATTCCCTCCCTTGCAGTAAAACGTATATAAAACGTTACTATTTAGATTTGAAAATTTTGACTCACATTTCATAAGAATTCCTATATCACCCTAATGACCTGACCTAGGTTATTGTTGAATTAGTGGGGATATCGAACCAACCCGAGACAAGAAGATAACCAAGTTTTATCTTTCTTTGCCCACTCCCCCTACTAAAACATGTTATTAACCGATATCTTTCTTTGATTATATCCATCTATCGTTTCGTTTCCGCAAGGGATTCATCTTTTTGTAACTTTTCAAGCTATTACAAGTTACATGTAATTAATTGATTGGGTGGCACGAGCCTATTCTCGGAAGAACTGGCCAAGACATTGGGATTTTTCTTACATTGAGATGGATTCTGCAGCTTGCAGGTGAACCAATGAGTGCTGAATGAGACCCCCCCCCCCCCTATTCTCGGAAGAACTGGCCAAGACATTGGGGTTTTTCTTACATTGAGATGGATTCTCACGGTTTGTTTTGTAAAAATGATGACACGCAAGAAAACTTCTTTATTATATATTGAAGCATGAAAACCGCATTTTTCGTTACTAATCTGAAACAGCTGGTTCGCACTCATGCAGTGTCAATTCATGGAATTACCTAGGCTAATACCACTACTACATTTCCTCATTGCACACTGCATAGATTTATTCTTCTCAATTACAGTTAAATAAGGTGCAAAAGAGATAATCCTAAAAATTCCGTTTGATTAGCTTAAATCATCAATACTCGATAACCTGAAAGTGCAGAGTTCAATCCCGGCATAGGTCGAGATAATAGCTTAAGATCATTCAGTGATGAAGGTCGTAGGGGCAAAATTTCCTTTATGGCACACTGCAAGGTGTCGTTCGTTTGCATTAGTGCAATTAGGTAGTAGCACGTAAAACTCCATTCATTTCATTAGCTCAAATCAACAATAATACAGTACGTGACGTATAACATTTTAAAATATGTTTTATTATTTCTATTAAAATAGAATAAAAACGGATTGTTGACGGATTGTTGACGGCTTGTTGACGGTTCTAATTTGACTTACAAGCGAGAAGTTGACAGTTTAAATATATTAATAATTCTAAACATGAAACTGTCAGACGCCTCGTGGATAGATTCTATCAATCATAAACTTGAAATTTAAAATTGAATTTGAAAACATTTACTATTATCTTCCTTGTAAAAATTCAGGAAACAGCATGACTCATATCTCCTTTTTATGAAGCCCCCCTATCCCTTTACGGTATGGGGCCGAAGTCGTTCAGCGAGTTAGGCGCTTGCTCGCTCAACTTCTAGCGTTCAATCTAGTGGCTCAACAACATGAGAAGGGGCTCGTGAATTCAATACACCCCTCCCCCGCTTAAATAAAGACATATTGCCCTTGGTAGGGCCAGCATAAGTTATTTTTTCTATATTTGTGTATATTTTATTAAGCAAAGTAAATACATACTACATATTATAGTTCTTGCTATATAACAAACAGAAATCAACATGAAAACAAATATGTACAATTTGTCATGTAAAAGAAATATAACAACATTACAAATTTTTATTGCCCTGATTCTTTATTGACTTTAGGAGATTATGATCTGTTCATTTTAAAAATGATAGAAACGCCCAAAATCGACAATTAAAATACCGACGGCGTATGTAATGCAATGTAAAAATATATTCAGATTTTTAATGTGTGTTAATTTTTGATATTTTTTTTATTAATTTATTTTTACTGGGGGATGAGGTGTTTCAACCAGTCCTATATATTAGAGCCTCTGGTTCAATCCTGGCATAGGTCGAGATAACATTTGTGGATTTTTTTTTATCCCGGTTTCTCCCCTGTTTGTGAAGTTCTACTAGTTGGCAAAAATATCTAGTCGTCTGTATAAAGGACATAAAACAACACTGTGCACATTAAAGACCTTTTGAAAGTTGAAATACTGAAGTGCTAATACCACTGCCCAAACTAAATTGTCCTCGTTGCACATTGCAGGCCAGAAAGAGTGCAGAATTGTCGGAAGTAAAACTCATTTCATTTGTTAAAATGCAGATCGAGATGAATTGAGGTTTTTTTTTCTTCAACTACCACCCATGGTCTGTTGAAATTTGTTGCAACACATGTTCAAGGTTAATGAAATACTCAACCAATCAAAAAGCCTATTGTCAGTATCTTTAAAATTCGAACGGAAGGTGCCATATTTTTTTTATAAATTTCTTTTTCTATTTTAAAATGAAATATTCGTTAAAGAGGTCAGATGAGTTCGAAAAGTGCAAAAGACAGTAAATAATCTCATTTCTAAAAATATTAGCATATTATCACATAATAACAATTGTGTTTATTCCAGATTCTGCAAATGACTACTCAGTCACGAGTCATATAAAACTTTTTAGAATATTTTATAACAGTACTAAACTATATGACTGAAAAATAAGGATCCCAGTACCCTGAATGAAATGAAATGAAATGGAGTTTTATACTTTACTATTTGTACCTTATTGAGCTACTGAAATGAAATCGAACTTACTGTTCTGTACCTAATTGGACTAATGATGAAATAGAGTTTTATATCCTACTGTTCTGTACCTTATTGAATTAATGAAATGAAATGGAGTTTTATATCCTACTGTTCTGTACCTTATTGAATTAATGAAATGAAATGGAGTTTTATATCCTACTGTTCTGTACCTTATTAGACTAATGAAATGAAATGGACTTTTATATCCTACTGTTCTATTCCTTATTGGACTAATGAAATGAAATAGAGTTTTATATCCTATTGTGCTCTATTGTGCTAATGAAATGAAATGGAATTCTATATCCTACTTTTCTGTGACATTTTGACCTATTGTGTATAAATATCGAATATTCTACACAAGTCTCAAACCAATTTGACAAAATTTCCAACACTTGGAAGAGTGCTAAACCTTTTGCACGTAACTAGAACAAAAATGGCAATGAAATTCGGTCTCTGTCCTTGCCCAGGCCAAACAACTTGGCCACTTGACAAATTATTTAGAATATTCCACGAGTAAATATTGTTGTTTTCAAAACAAACAAAATATTTTCGTCTGTATGAAAATTATTAGATTATGGCCCAACGTTAGTCGTCTATTATTATTTGATAATATATATATATTTTGCAATGCACCACTGTATTGAACCTTTTTGAAGTCTTTCTTTTGAATTTCACGATCTTATAAAAGATGTAACAATGGACTTCCGCCATTTACGTGTTATCTTAAAGAGGGCCCTAAAAAGGAGAAGATTTGTTTGTTTTTGTTTTTGCATTTGTTTTGAACACACGGCGCTGGTTTCTTATCCCTTACGAACGAGTGACGCTTTGCCTCCTCCTGTCGGTACACCCGATCTGCATCACGCCTGTGGCGTGCAGGATGAAAGGTGAATACCCAATTAATTCCATAAAAAAGTCGGTTGGAATGTTTTGGCCGATTATGTTTACTGGATAATACTACTATAACGGTTGCGTGTCTGAAACACTTAACTTTGTTTTCTTTCCGATCTCTGACCAAGCCGAGGTCATTGATATTTTTGCGAGTGGAGGGGTCCCTGAAGGAGGGGAAGGTGGGGGGGGGGGGGTATCTTTTCTTCGTGTAAAACTCCACCTTTCCTTACAGATAACAGATGTCTAGACTTCATGCTTTTGTAATTGTAGAAGCATATGACGTCGGGTCCTTCTTCTGAAAGGCTATCAGCTGGTAGAGCAAATACCACTTGGGGGCCAGGAGGGTTCCTCGCGTATACAGCCTTGGGGTGCAATACGGGAATTTTTACACCAAATTTTTTTGAATTTCTGACTGTCGAAGACGAGCCTCGGTTTATTGGAAGCTTATTAAATAAACCACGATCTCTTCGATTTCTAACAGTCGCGAGATCTTTCAGGTGAACAGTCTGTAGCACACGAGGCCTCGGTTTATAGTCTAATTTGAACGACTAGACGGTTGTTTATGTCAGCTTTTCCTGCAACATTGGCAAGGGGCAGATACATAGGCAATTCCTCAAAATAAGCTGACAAACATCATGCGCCTCCGTGGTTCTTTGGGTTAAAGTACTATGTGAAGCGTCCCAATGACACAGTGCTGTGTCTGATATACCATTCATGTGAAAAGTCCTGCAGATGCTACAAGGTAATCGTTTCCTCAAAATAAGTTCACAAACACCAAGCGCCTCTGTGGTTCTTTGGGTTAAAGTACTATGTGAAGCGTCCCAATGACACAGTGCTGTGTCCGATATACCATTCCTGTGAAAATATGCTAAAAGATTTTCGTTTGAAACAAAAACGTTTTAATTAAACCAAAATATGAATTATATAAAACAAGACAAGTAAGATAAAAACACAGACCGATATAAAAATCAGACTTGAGCATTACATTTCAATATCGTAAAGATAGGGTAGTTACATTACCAACGTGACCTTATCTAGTAAATATGGATGGATTGAGTAGACTTTGATCTCATTGATTTCATATCTGAATGAATGAATGAATGAATGAATGAATGAAGGAATTACGACCAAATGAATGAAATAAATAAATGAGCTGAATAAATGAATTAATGGATAAAGCACAAAAATTATCACAATTTTTTTTTTAAAATACATCGTAGGAAAGTTTGATTGCGTTCACATTTTTTCAAGAATTATGAAAAGACAATTAGTTGGCTTAAAATAAATGAAATTTGTACAATATTTGACACAAAGTAACATACTTGGCAACTGGAGATTAGAGCCTCGAGACAAATGAAAAAATATATCAATTATGCACGAATAAAATAAATAAATAAATAAATAAATATCATACATTTATGGAACCGGGTTTACTC